AAAAAAAAAAAAGAAAAACATGAAAACAGAGAATAAAAATTATAATAACCAAATGTAACTTAACTGTGAAAAGTACATTTTCTGAATTGAAAAATTTGATGGATGGACTTAAGAGCAAATTAGTTATTGCAGAAGCTAACATAAGAAAACATGAATAAAGGACAATAAAACAATAGAAATAACCCAAATCTAAGCACAGAGAGAAAATAATTGGGAGTCCAAGGAGGAGGGAATGTAGAACAAAGATTTGAAAAATTAATATTTCCAGAATTTTAAGATACGAAAAAAAGCCTAAGAAGCTCAGTGAAACTAAGGCAGGATAAACACAAAATCATACCAGGACACATTAAAATCAAATTACTGGAAATCACTAGAAATAAGAGGGGTGCCTGGCTGGCTCAGTCAGTGGAGCATGTGACTCTTGATTTCAGGGTTGAGTTCAATTCCCACATTGGGGGTAGAGATTACTTAAAAATAAAATCCTTTAAAAAAAAAACAACAGCCATAGAAAGGAAGACATGTTTACATACAGGGAACAAATAATAAGAAAAACTGTTGCCTCCCCATCACACATTGCAAACTGAAGACATACATGGAATGACATCTGTAAAGTGTTGAAAGAAAAACTGTCAAACTAGGATTCTTTATTCTGTGAAGATAATATTAAAATATGAGCGCAAATTAAAGATCGTTTTTAGACAAAGCTGGGAGAATTTGCCTCTAGGAGATTTACATTGCAAGAAATGTTAAAGGATGTTTTTCAGGTAGAAAAGGATACCAGATGGAAATGTAGATTTTTCCAAAAAGTGAAGAGCATAAAATAGTAAATACATAGGGGCGCCTGGGTGGCGCAGTCGGTTAAGCCTTTGATTCTTGGTTTTGGCTCAGGTGGGGATCTCAGGGTTGTGGGATCGAGCCCTGCATCGGCCTCCATGCTCTGTGTGGAGTCTGCTTGTGACTCTCTCTCCATCTGTCTTCCCCACTTCCCCCCTTCACATGCATGCCCTCTCTTTCAAAAATAAATAAATCTTTAAAAAGATAGTAAATACATAGGTAGAATATAAAGGACATTTTTATCATTTAAATATTTTCTTTAAGAGATAATTACAATATTA